TGACAACAAGCTCTTTTCCGGCTTTCTCGGTGCTGTAATTGTCCCCACTTTGCTTCAAGCAGCTGGCTTCAGTGACCTTCCCCGGAGCCCCACAGCGCTGTACCTGCAGAACCCACAGAATGGCCTCGGGCCCAGTGCGCCACCCCCACTTAGGGAAGAGGCAGGCCCCGGTGATCCTGGTGGCCCTGGTGACAGCCTGTGCTGGCTCCACGCCCCTCTCGTGAGGGTCTTAACTGGCATCACCTAGGTCAAAGCCAAGCCGAGGAGGTGATCAGTTCTGGACTGCCTGCCAAGATGTGCTGATGAAGGGGAAGCAAGGAGAGGAGTTGCTTCCGACTTAATCCTGAGAGGGAAGACCCACAGATGGGGCCTTAGGTGGGGCCACGTCCCCCCAGGGGTCATGAGAACAAAGAACAGCAGGCTGGACAGGAGCAGCTGGGCACCAGCCTGCAGAAACGTGATCCCAAGAAGCCCAAAGAGAAGGCTTACAAGCCTGCAGCAAGAGGTTCTAAGAGGAGGAGTTAATTAAAAACGGTATTTTGGAAGCCCTTGCTCATACCTTGCTAATGCTCATGATAGGATGCAAACCTGCACATCTGGTTTACCGGTTTTGTGAGACATTATATATATCACAGAGCAGAACGACCTGGAAGGAAATGCATCAATAAAATATTATCAGTAGGGGCGCCTGCGTGGCTCATTGGGGTAAGCATGTGACTCTTGATTTCGGCTCAGGTCATGATCTCAGGGTCGTGAGATTGAGCCCCGCATCGGGTTCTGCAATCAATGGGGAGTCAGCTTGAGATTCTCTCTCTCTGCCCCTTCCCCCCTTCGCTTGCTCTCTAATAAAGAGATCTTAAAAAAAAATATCAGTAGCTACCTTCGGATAACAACGCTTTTGTCTTGATCCTTTTCTGTGTTTTCAAATTTTTTCTCTTTTAAAACATTTGTAAGTGGCCAATGTGTATACATACATGTCACTTTAAGGATGGAAAGTAAGTTTGGACAGTGCAATTACAAATGCACCTGACCTAAACAGCAGTTCCTCCTAAAGGAAGATGTGTCCATTCAAGTGTCCCCATGAGGTCAGATTTCAGGAGATGGGTCTTAGGACAGCCGAGGGACCGTGGCAACAACGATGTGCCAATGAAGGGTGAGAACACAGCCCAGGACGGGTGGGCTGACACTGCTTTGTCAAGAAATCTGGTAAAAGACAGAAATACACACCCCCATCCTTTTTTTTTTTTTAAGATTTTATTTATATGACAGAGATAGTGAGAGCAGGAACACAAGCAGGGGGTGAGGGAGAAGTAGTAGGCTTCCTGCGGAGCAGGGAGCCCGATGCGGCACTTGATCCCAGGACCCTGGGATCATGACCTGAGCCGAAGGCAGATGCTTAACGACTGAGCCACCCAGGTGCCCCTCACCCCCATCCTTTACGCACAACTCCACTCCTGGAAAATACATCCTCTGAAACATCCAAGCGGGTGCTCACTGAGGTGTGGAAGGGCAGCAGGAAGTGCGAAGCACCCCAATCTTCCATCAGGATGGCACAAAGAGAACCAATCAGACCCGGGGGGCGCTCCAGGTTGCAAAGGGAGAAAAGTCCCATTTTGAAAGGTGCAGAATCACTTTTTTTTTTTTAAGTAGGCTCCACGCCAAACATGGGGCTTGAACTCGCGACCCTGGGAATGCAGGTAACTTCTGTCTTGGATTTATTTCAGTACGCTTTTTTCAGAAGTGCAAAAACAAAAAAACAAACAAACAAAAAACACTCATCACTCAATAAAGCTGCAAATGGCAGGACAGGATAGCCCACGTTTTATCAGAACGTTGAGCAATCTGAGCCCAAGGGTGCTGGGGTCTGCCAGCCTGGCTCACTGCAGGGCTGCTGGGGATTCTGACGGGGAGGGTTGTGCCCAAGGGAGGTGGCCCCAGTCAGACACTCTGTTCTCAGGAACTTGATCTCCTGGTCTTGGAGGGAGGAACGAGCTTCCTCCCGCTTCCTCCCATTTCACCCAACCTTCGCCTGGTCCAGCCTCTGCAGATCACTCTCCAGGCCAGTTGGTGGCTTGCTGCCCAGGCCTGGAAGAGCGTTGAGCACTTTCTGGAAGGGCATTCTGTGTCAAAAAACAACAACAAAAAACCCCCTTCTGCCCAAGTGGGCCTCGGTAGCCACCCCAGCAGGGTCAGCATGAAACATCACCTGATCTTCCTTCTGGGGAGGGGAGATGGGAGCCTCACTTCTCCTCGCAGCTCTCCGGCGGCAGCTGTCCGCTCCCAGGGAGCAGTGGCAACGTAGGCCCAATCACTCCCCGGGAATCTGTCGCCTGTGTGCGCAGCCCCTGTAACTTCATGGGGGCGGGGGGGGGCCTGCCCGGCAGTGCCGTGTGGACAGACAAAACCGGAAGGAACATAGTGCACAAACATTTATTTACAAAAAGTCCAAGTTACATATGATACAGGCTTTTTACACACAGTAGTTTAAACAGAATTATTTTGATGTATTTTACTACCAGAAGATACAGAAAAAAATTTAATAAACTAATCATTTTTGCTATTTTTATACAAAGTGACAGGACATGCACACTTTTATTTTTTTAAGTTTTAAAATCTTTTGCTAAGTGCAAATACTAGATTCCTCTCTCCAGTTTAAGGCAAGTAGAACAGGACTGTTGCTGGGCAGTCTCTGGCTTGGGGGAGCAAACACTGTGGCCCAGAGAGGGTAAGGGGCCAGGCTGCCTCTGGGATTCCTGCCTTGTCCCTGCCACTGGCTGGTCTCTGTGGGTCTCCTGTCCTCATACCTTGCAGCCACTTGCTGGCTTGTCAGAGGATTAAGGCCCCCTCTCCCCTGAACTCTCACTAGTGCAGTCTGCTTCTCAAGAAGCCTGGGGTCCTCTGGGACATAGGAACCTAGAGGGTCACTTCACAGACAGGTGGGACCTCATGCTAACGTCAGAACTCGTGGCAACGACCTTCCCCCAAATAGCAACTGTGCTGCTGCGGGCCTGGGAGCTGCTCCACAGTCCAGCTCAAGGAGGATCGTCAGAAACCGGGGGCCCTCAGATCCCTAGCAGCTACTATGGCTAGAAACAGCCAGAATTCATCTCAAACGGCAAGTCCTCAGTTTGGCCTTGGGGGAAACCAATTCTTCTGGTCTCTTCCTTTCCTGTGCCAGGGGATCTTCACATGCCACCCACCTGGGGCCTACCCTTTCGGCTGCCCAAAGTGCTCCATGGAACCCTGTGCCCTGGCTACAGGGCAGAGGTGGACTGGTTTGTTCCCTCCTTGTATGAACTGGCTCAGGGGGCCCGGGAGGTTCTGGTGTGTCCATTTGGTGGGACGTCCGCTGGAAGCTCAACTGCTCGGAGACCCTCCCCATCTCAGGGATGCACGGGGACCATGTTGTAAAGGTACTTAAACCTGTCACTGTACCCTGCAGTGCACCCCCAGCAGGGCTCTCCCAAGGCACTGCCATTCAGGCTCCCGGAGGTGCAGGCCCCTCCTCGTGTGTCCCGCCCCACACCCAGACGACTCTGCAAAGCCCTCCCCTGCAGGAAAAGCAGGAGGAAGAATGGGCAACTTAGCATATTTCTCTCCATTTTAATCCTTGAAATACATGAGAAACTGATGGCAGTGGGTGCCCGCACACAAGAATGCATGGTCCTGGGGCATGGTCCCCAGAGATGGGGGGTTGGTCATTAGGCTCACCCTTCTGAGGTCTGTGCACAGGTGCTGGGAACTTCTGGGAACCCCACAGACGACAGATATAGCAGCAGTGACAGAGACCAATACTGGGCAACCAGGCAGGGTCACTCCCCGTGGAGGCCTCTGCTCTGCACAGCGGTGGCTAGTGATGGGGCAGAGCCTTGGGTGGGCTGGGGCTGCACAGGGAAAGGTGAGTGGGAAGGGGCAGGGACCCCCGTGACGACCCGGAGCTAGACTCACCCGGCCGTGGGCAGGGGCAGCTCCACAGGTGGGTGCCGGGTGTAGTTTGGGTCCTCTGTTCCCCCATGAAACCCACTGCCACCACCAAACCTTAGGGAAGAAGCTGCTCATTACCTGACAACTGGGCTACCTGGGAGAGCGACCAAGCCTGTCACAGCCACCTCGAAAGGACCTTTTGTTTGGCAAGATTCAGGACCATCCAGCACTCATTGGCTGCCTGGCGTGGCGTAACTGATTTGACTTTCTAGAGACTGAACGAGAGAAACTCTAGTAGGCCACAGAAAACCCAGTAAGTTCAAAGTGAGTAAATGGCAAATATTTCTTTAAACTACAAAACAGAACTGATAGCATGAGATGGCTCTCTGTGGTCTCATCTGAGTGGGCCAAGGACAAGAAGAGACCTGAATAGTCACGGTGGTGGCGGCCTGGGGTTCTGGATTTGGAGAATACAGTCTGCAGCCTCCCCACCCTGAGCAGTGCCCCCAGGCCTGGGGACACGGTTCTGCCACCGCCTCACTGGGACCAAATGATTTGGAGCAGCAGGGTGCACTCACTCTGGGTGGGCCGCCGTATTGGGGTGGGGGTGGGGGGAGAACCCAGCCTTCACGACATGGTTCAGATGGCTTAGCTCTCTCCAAACCCCAAACTCCCTCCAACTGGGACTTCAGCTTTATCACCAATCAGACTGTACTGCGGTAAGGAAGGCCTACGTGGTTAACTGAGAGACTTGTGAGGTCTGCCAGGGGGAAGGGAGGGGACGGACACAAACACTTCCCTCATCACTGTCTGCAGGGACAGGGCTGACAGAGATGGGCTACCTTGTGGTGAGGGTCTCTGCACTGCCGCTCGGACAGTGGAACTCTCCAGGGAGGCCCTACTGCCCCCTTGTCACCGGTCCAGTAAGTGCCAGACCAATCCTTTTATAGGCACCTGAGGGCACTGGCCGGCCGGCCGCTCAAGGGACAGTAGTCCTTCCCAGGAAGGAGCAGGAAAAAAGCCAGCCTATCCTTTTGAGAGCCAAGTGCACGATCCCTATTCAGAAGGCATGGCCTTGGGGGCGAGGTGGGAATCTACGGAACCCCGGCCCTGCACAGGCTGGGCTGCTCAGCGGCGGGGCTCTGGGGAGGAGGCATGACACAGAGCTGTCAGAAGCGATGCCGTGGCTGTGGGCCAAAGTGCATAGGCAAGTTGTGCTCCAGTGGCACGTGGACGGGAGCGAAGTCGTAGTTGACGCGCACATTGGGCAGAGGGGGCACGTAGGGTGCTGGGACGGGGCCCATGTTGAGAGGGAAGTTGTTGAACATGGGCCGGACAGGTGGCAGGGGAAAGGGGGGGTGCACAAAGGCATAGGGGGGGATCTGTGGCTGGTGCAGGTTCTGTGGGACAGGCCTCGGCAGGGCTTCGATCCTCTGGACTTTCTCTGGAGGCTTCTCCAAGGGAGGCCCGATGCGTTTGAAGGTGTTCTCTGAACAGGACATGGGATTTAGTACAGAAAACAAAACCAACTGTGCTTGCATGTGGGTTGGGACCAGGGCTGCATATCCTGACCTCAGTCCCACTTGCCCCAAGCTGAGAGCCCAGAGCATGAGGCCAGGCCACAATAAGGCCAATGAACGTGTACATGTGCACCAACCTCCCTCAGCTGTCAAGTGTTAACTCAGTGATCACCCTGGAGGGTGGTGGATTCCATGGGAGACTTTCCTTCAGAGCCAGGGCCTGGGGGCCACTCCCAGAAACTCCATTTCATTCCTTTGTCACCTCAGAGAGGCCAGGGTGGGCCTACTGTCTTTTTAGTCCAGTGTGGGTTCTGTCTGCCTCCTAAGCTCAAACCCATCGCTTGGGACCCCATTACCATCAAGGGGATACTGAAACTCCCCTACGCCTTCACAGCCTCTTGCCACAGGGAGCTGGATTGATGCCTGGGCAGCCCCGGCGGGGCAGAGGGCCAGCCACGAAGCCACCCCCCCCACCCCGTCCCCCGCAGGAGTGCTCTGGGCCCGCCCCCAGCCCCCCGCCCCCCCAGGGATCGCTCCAGGCATGGGGACCGTGCTGGGAGAGTGCTTGCCTCCAGTCTTTCTCTTCTGCTCCTCTTCAGCCTCCTTTTGGATCTCCTCAATTAGCTTCTCATCATCTTCCTAGAAGAAGAGCAACAAGATGGTGAGCTTGCTCCAACCAGCTCCATGCCGTGCTAACACCCCACTGGGACCCAGTGGAGGGCAGCTTGCTGCCAGTCAGCAGACTACTCATTCCCAGACCCTGAGGTCTCCTTGCTTCATCAGTGGATGAGGCTACCCTGAGGAAGCCCACCTGAAAGGCTGTGGCTGAGGAGTGGGATTGTGCATGGTGGTGGCCACCTGGGGGAGGGGCAGGAGCCTGCTTTGTTCCCTCAGCTGTAGAGTAAGCAGGCAGAGGACCTTCTGCAGCTTGGGTGGGCAGACTGATAACCCAAGGGTTTGGGAAGGGGGTGGGTCTGGGGCGGGCAGGGCCTGAAAAGTTTCACACTTGATCTTAAGACAAAAGGCCGAGAAGCAATGGCCCGAAAAGTTTCAGATCCAGAGTCCATGAACTCTGAGCAGCGCACCCTTTTGTGCAAAGCCCAACAGAGTCTTACTGATTCTCTGACCTCAGGTGGACAAAGGTCTACTCAGGCCAGCTGAGCCCTGAAGCTGGCCTTTAGCTTCTAGACAGCTGGTGGGCTGTAGGAGCTGCGTCTTGCCAGCTGAATGGCGGTCGGGGTGGGGGCCCTCATGCGGGAGGAAGGGCACAGCAGTTTAGGAGCGAGATGAATGGAGAGGAACATCACCAACTGTGTGGATTTGAACTGAACGACAGGCAGGCTTCTTTCCTGGGGTCTTCCAGCTGCTTCTCCAGGAATTAAGAGCAGTCAAGCTGCGGAGAAGTGTGAGGAGGGCACTGGTGCGCAGCAGCAGTCCCAGTACTTGAGGTGTTTCCTAGACAAGGCATTGGAGCCTCCCCACGTGGCCAGGTGTGTGCTGGGCTGGAATAGTTTCAGGGAGAGCTCTGACCACGGATGGCACCAGGGAACTTGTGAAATGTGAACGGAGGACCACAGAAAAGAGCATGTGAGCTGGAGAGAGCACCCTCCCTGGATAGTGGAGAGTGTGGCGGTCCCACCTCAGCGGAGGACAGCGTGCATGTTTACTTAGCACATTATTAATGTCACCGCCAAGACAGCAGTCAGGGATTTCACCCTGTAGTTACGACGAACCTCGAGGACTCAAGTCGGGAACAGCTTTTAATCAGCGTGTATTGGACACCTGCTAGTGCTAGACACTGTTCTAAGTTTACTGGTTAAACTTCTAATCAACAAGAAGACTAAGTCATACTGATGGAATAAGTAAATATTTATGTAATATATTCCCTTTGTTTGGTAGATAAAAAAAATCTTAGGACAGAGTCGCTGGAGGCTGTGGGCTCTGTGGGCAATAGCAGGAGGCCCTGCTAAATTCGCTCACGTTCTCCGACCCTCAGTCGCCAAATGGTGGAACTAAACTAACTCAATGGTCTCTAGATTCTTTCCGCATCCTTCCTGATATTTGGAAATTCTTTTTTTTTTTTAAGATTTTATTTGACAGAGAGAGACATCAGCAAGAGAGGGAACACAAGCAGGGGGAGTGGGAGAGGGAGAAGCAGGCTTCCCGCTGAGCAGGGAGCCTGATGTGGGACTCGATCCCAGGACCCTGGGATCATGACCTGAGCCGAAGGCAGACGCTTAATGACTGAGCCACCCAGGCACCCCACATTTTTATTTGACAGAGAGAGACATCAGCAAGAGAGGGAACACAAGCAGGGGGAGTGGGAGAGGGAGAAGCAGGTTTCCTGCTGAGCAGGGAGCCCGATGCGGGACTTGATGCCAGGACCCTGGGATCATGACCTGAGCCGAAGGCAGATGCCCAACGACTCGGCCACCCAGGTGCCCCAACACATTTGGAAATTCTTAACACACAAATCTTTCTCAGCATCACCCTGCCAGGTGTTCTCAACAAAGCAGGAGGAAGAGGAGAGAGCTGCCAAGTGCCAAAAGGAACCCTCGAGGGCACCATGTCTGTCTCCCAGGTTAACACATGCAAATTCTCCACTAAAAACCCCAAGACCCAGTCATCTAGCCTCCATTCCAAAGGAGGGAATGGATTCCTGTACGAAGGAACCACTAACCAACCGACACAAAGGGCCTGGGTAATTCAGTACAGTTTGGTGGGCACAGTCTGAAGGTCTCCATGTGAATATAAAGATACGTTCTACCAACTATCTAGAGGAGGAGCTGACAAACCTCTTCATTTTGGTGCCAGTGGAAGGTCCAGGAAAAAAAGATTTTTAATCTTAAAAAAAAAAAAAGCTATCCAGAAAACTGTCAGGTGGGAGAGCAGGGGCTCTGTGGTACCTTCCACTAAGCAACTTGAATGTCTAAGTCTCGCAAGATACCTCACCTGTAAAATGGGCTGTTGTAAGGCTGGAATGACCTCCAGTATGTAAAGGACTTGGCAAAGAGCGCTCACTATTAAAGGCAGGAAGGTCATGGAAAACAGCAGAAATAAAGATTTTAAAAAGATGAGAAGGTTCAAGAAAAGTGGCAGAGACTGGGAGATGCCCCCAACACTTGCGTCTGTGGCTTCTTCATAGGGCAGGTGCCGGGCTTCCTGACTGTATTAATTAGGGCCACTGAGTAAACTGTCAGTTGCAGCTAGATTAAGGATCAGATGGTTCAGATTTCAACTTCCTCTGATTGGGTGGAATCACAGGACACTGTTTAGAAACTAACAATGAAAACGCTTTTCAATATATTTTTAAATTACATTTTTAGCCAAACATGTTAGAGTCTAAGGTGAAGATTTCTTACTTCATCTGGGGCGGGGGTTCCTTCCCAAGCAATTTCTCTTAAGCATTTATTTTATTTATTTATTAAAGATTTTATTTATTCATTTGCGAGAGAGACAGAGAGAGAACAAGCAGCGGGAGAGGCAGAGGGAGAGGGAGAAGCAGACTCCCTGCTGAGCAAGGAGCCCGATGTGGGACGCGATCCCAGGACCCTGGGATCACGACCTGAGCCGAAGGCAGACGCTCAACCATCTGAGCCACCCAGGCGCCCCTCTCTTAAGCATTTAAAGCTCCTCAAGTCAAGAGTGAAGGCAGACTGAATCATACACTTTAAAAATGGCAAATCTTATTTTATACATATTTTACCATAATTAAAAAAATAATGTTAATAAAGAGAGTGAATGCGGCAAGCTTTAGGGTTGATTTTGAGATAAAACATGAAGACTGGTCCCTCTGGGTTTGGGCTGAGGGACAGATGGGCTCCGGAGGCCTTTCTGGAGGTGAGTTCCCTTGGGAAACATTCTCGGTGCCCCCAAGCATCATCATTCATGGCGAACCAGGACACCTGCAAAAAAGGCTTGCCACTCTGCAAATCTAGGACACACCTAGGCTGCTGGAAGTGGGGAATAATAGGAGGAAAGCAGATGAGAGAGCCGGGTGCAGGGGCCAGGTCACCGAAGTACCTGACCTCCAGCACCCCCAGAAAGGGCTGAGTCACCCACAGGAAATCCAGGCGTGATGGAGCGACCGGCCGCGGCAAGTCTTATCTTCAAGCAGCACTGACTTCCTAACGGATAGGGTGCTGGCGTGATGAGAACAGCTCCAGTTCTGGGGCTCCACAGAGCTGGGCTTGAGGACCCTGTTACCTTCCACAACCTGACCTTGAGCCCATTCACAGCAGGTTTACTGTGAGAAGCAAATGATCTCTCTTTTACAAAGTGCCAAGCACAACGACAGCAAGAACGGAAGTTAATGTTTACTGAGGGCTTACTATGTGCCAGCTCCTATTGTAAAAGCACTTCACAGACACTGGATCTTCATAACAACTCCACTAGTTAGGCCCTATTAATGAATCCCCGTATTACAGACTGGGAAACGCAGACACCGTGAGGTTTAAACCCAGGCCTTCCATGGGCGCCTGGGTGGCTCAGATGGTTGAGCGTCTGCCCTCGGCTCGGGTCATGATCCCAGGGTCCTGGGATCGAGTCCTGCGTCGGGCTCCCTGCTGCTTGGGAGCCTGCTTCTCCCTCTGCCTCTCTCTCTCTGTCTCTCATGAATAAATAAATTCAAAAATTAAAAAAAAAAAAAACAAAAAACAAAAAACCCCAGGCATTCCACTCTCGAGGCTGGAGATCTTAACCGCAGAAACCACAGGTTTCTGAACTGGAAGCTTCTGCAGCAGGGACTGCAAGGCCCCTGGAACTCCGCCCGCCCTGCCCCGAGCACTGTCAGAGGCCCTGCCTTGTTCTAGAACGAGTGCATCTTATCCTCCTTGAAATACAAGAGGGTTCCTTCTCTTTGGGATGGGCAGAACTCCGAAATCTCCTTTTTCCACTAAATACAAGAGAAAAGGGCAAATCAAAACACTTCCATTCAAGAAGACAAACAGCCAACACAGCAGAGAAGGGGGTCACTTCCCTGGAAATTTTTAGGGAATTCTTTTCTTGGTCAGCTCACCCAGAAGTGCACATACTATCCCTTAAAAAAGATCTATTCGTCAGTGTCTGGCTTCCCCTGGCACTGGCCTCTGAGACAAAGCCAGCAGCAGATCCCTTTCACCACCTCTTTCCTTCTCCCCCAGACGGAGTCAGGAGCTCCAGAGCCCACAAACCTCACCTCTTGAGCCAGAAACCCAAGGTGTGGGTCAGGCCCTACCACTGAGACCCAAAAGGACGTACTGGCTCACAGTGGCAGGGTCTCCCCTTGCCTCTGACTGGGCCGCCGTTCTAAGCCCATCTCCAGAGTGGGAACACACACTTCTAGATTTCCCTGCCTAACATGCTTTCTCGTGAGGCTACCAACTTACTTGCATGTCACAGTGTCCCATGGAATTTTCTCTTTCTGCCACAAAAGACCAGTGTTTTGGTTCTCATAACATTAAAGCAATTTTGGGAAAAAAAGTTTAACACCACCCAAATAAAAAAGTCACCGGTAATTTCCCTCCAGAGAGAACTCCTGGGAATGTTTTGGCCCACTGCCCACTTTGTATCCCCACCTCACTCAGAAACCCCCCGAGGTTCTCTTCTGGAAGGCTGTGCTCTGCACACTCAAGTCCCACCTCCCTGTGTTCTGCTCTAGT